ACCGGTAGGAATAGGAAAGTTCTTCTACCTGTATTTTCCAATGCCCATTGCTGTTTCCAGAGGTCAAGTAAATCTTCTAGTTTATTGTTTAAGATAAATAATTTAGAAGAAAATGTTGAGGTAAAGAAGGATTATTAGCCGCATATTTGGCTATTTCATCAGCTATTTCGTTTCCTATTATTACAGCATGGGCTTTTGTCCCTTTGAATTTGGGTTGAAGTGAGAGATAAGATAATGAATATTGCAAACTATTGGAGATTGACTATGGCCAATTGTTGTATAGATGCTGGATGCACTATCTATAATTATTATGCTAGGAAGGGAAAAGTCTTTGGCAAAGGTGATGGCTTCTTTTATTGCAAATAACTCTGCTTGAAAGACTGAGTTTATATGAGAGAGTCGTTGGTACCATTTATTGATTAGTTTATTACTATAAAAGACACAATATGCACACCCTACTTCTAGTTCAGTTTTGGATCCATCAGTAAATATTTGTGAAGCGAAGCAATAGGATGGAGATGTGGTAATAAGTGACTTTGTATGAAAATCAGATGGATTTAAATCAATATTGTGAAGCCGTTGTTCATATTTATCCGGGAAATATTTATTATTGTTCAGACTGCTATGGAGAGTAGTCTTGTTACTTGTACTTTTGCAGCTTCTTTTATAATTGAAAAATAAATAGGTGGAATTCCTGTTATTACTTGTAATGCTTTCGTAGGAGTAGTTCTGTATGCTTTTGAGATTAGAAGAAAAAACGGTCCTTGAATAGCAGAGAGATTTAGCTGAGATTTTGCGTGACTATTTAAGTGATTGCCCCAGGCTGAGACGCCATGTAGCATTATTTTTTTGAAGACAGAAGAGTACCAATTTTTTTTGTAGATTTGAATTGATGCCCCAAATTAAAAAAAAAGTGCGACGAAGAGTATTGGTGAGAATAATAGTTTTATTTTTTATATATTGAATATGAGGATACCATGACATTTTTGGGTTTCTTACAATGCCCAGATAGATGAGATTCTTGTCTGATTTTATTTTATTTTGAGATATTTTGATAATCGGATTTCTTAAGCTTTTAAGTGATGACCTTGATTTAGGTATATAAAGTGTTTTACATTCAGAAAAGGAAATCTTGACATGGAATTTATTAGCCCAGTTATTGAAGACGTTGAGAGATTCAATGGATATTTTTTCTATTTGTTTTCGATTGCTTGCGTTAACTATTAGAAGGAAATCATCGGCATATGCCTGCGCATGTGTGTGAGGAATATTGTTAAAAGATTGTAAAGCAATATTACGATGAGATTCAGCAATATTACGATGAGGCCACAGGTATGAGCCCTGGAGACCGCGTTTGGTTATTTTATAAGTAATGGTACCACTATTGGATGTAGATTGCAGAATTTTATTGTTTGGATAATCTTTTATTAAAAGAAGAATGTCATTTGGGCAGTTCATGCTTTCTAGAATATTCATAATATCATTCCATCTGACAGAATCGAATGCAGATTGAATGTCCAAGTGTATTAAAATTAAATGTTGATTATTTGTCTTATTATTATGGATAACTTCTTGAAGTTTTTGAAATGCATGGCCTATTGATTTATTTTTGATGAAGCCAAATTGATTATTGTGCATTATTCTATTTTTAATTCCTTTCACATTTCGAAATTTAGGTTCATTCCAAATTAAATTCAGCTATTTTTTATGATTTATTTTTAAAATTTGTATTTTTAAATAATTTTTTATAAATTTTTCGAAAACAACTACTACAATGTGAATCATAATCTATAAAATTTTTACCATCATTTTAAAGTTGATGTATTTCTAAGCATAACCTGCAAAACATTAGAGTTTTTTCATTCAAAATTTCCGAAGATATACGTGAATTTATATATTAGCGTATTTAGAAATTTGCATATTTGTTGAAAGCGATAATAACATCAAATGTGGTTTAGGCACTTTGTTAAAATTATTTCACAGTATGAACGATGCGACTTTTTTTCCGCTCATGCAATATGTAAAAAAGGAAAGGAAAATAGCTTGCCATATATTAAGAAGTTCGCCAATTATTCTTGGCGCAATGTGAAAAATGCGCCAAGATAAATTTTTTAATTTCTCCGTAAATTTCTCACCAAATTTAACAAAATTTAGGCATAAATTCAGTCGTAGAACCGAAAAATGGAAACAAAATTCGCATGCCATTTCAGAAAAAGTCCGATTTTGTGTCAAAGTACCTACATAAAAATAATGCTATATATAAATCTAATATATATCCTAAGTTACGCTTTCGAGGCATGAAAAACGCAATTTAAATTTCGTCAATTGGCCCAGTAGAACGGAAGCTATAGAACTGTATTTTTTTTTTTTTTTTTTTTTTTTTACAATTCACTTTTTTTTTCTTAACCTTTTTTTTTTACTGTGCTCTTCAGTTTGTGTTGAGTGAAACAGTGTGTAAAATTGAAGCATTTAAACAGTTTCTACCTGTTACTCGAATTCCTAGAGAGTTAGAATAATTGGACTTACCAGACCTAACCACATTCTGTTTCAAAATTCTTATGTTCTACTTAAATTTCATTTAATTTAAAAGTGCTGACTAGAGAACCTAAGTTTTAAATAAACTCATTTACAATATGCTAGCTTTTAATTTTCATTTACAAAGCACGTTATCAACAACATATTTTGCTTTCACAATACATATTATTCATGCAATCAAGACAGTAGACTTCAAAGGATTGCATTTACTTAGTGTTAACTTTAATAACTATAAACCAAAAATGAGTGCACTAGTTGCTATTACTTCGACTAAACAAACATAAGCCTGTTTAATACACACTTATTCAAACATAAAATGCAAATACACGATTATGCAAACAATAAATACAAATATACAAACGTAAAATTCTTAAAAGCAGATAAATGCATCAACAAAAAAGCTTCTTAGCTCTATTTCGATATCCCATAAAATACAAATTGTAGTATAAAATAGTATTATACTAGCAACCTCGATAAATTCAATAAAATAGTATTATACTAGCAACTTCATACACATGTTTTAACATATGTAAAATAAACTTCCATTCGAAGTTATTGATCGTCGTCGATTTCCTTTGACCCTCGGCATATTCTAGCGCCGTTGCTCTCTTCCTTGAAGCGTTTCTTTAGGGTTCGTGATCGTCACCATGTGGTCTGTTTGCCCATTTGCGTTTTCTAATTGCTGGTTCTTTTAAATTTTATCTGCAATGGGTTTTCCTCTAGTGGCCTTTTCCAGCATAAGTTTCGTAACTGACCATCGTTTCTCTGTCAATGCATGTTTCTTACTGACGTTGTTCTTCGGGACTGTTTTGTTTTCACCTTTCTTCATGTTTCTTACTCGGTGGTGGCGACATCTCAGATATACTATACTCGACCATTCTCTTTAGCTTTTCTTTTCTATGATTCATTCATCCTGGGCCTTTTCGCTTTCTTGCCATTCCTTCCTTTTACCCTGCGACGTAGACACCGCTACTGAATTAAGCGACCTATTCAACGGACCTGCAATGCTCATGCCAGAGGTTTCATCACCAAGTCCTGGTCATAAGGTAATTATAAATATGAAAATCAAAACGCATTAGGAAGTTGGAAATCAGTAATAATAATATGATGAAAAATAGTTGAATATTTTGTTAATATTGTTATATAGTAGGTCGCTTAAAAGAATATCGAGAGCCTCCAGTAATGGCACCTTTGATTGGTAAGATTAATTTACATTACAATGAACTGCACATTAATGGAGTTAAGAATACATAAGTGTAAAACTTCAGATTTTATGTAATTCGGATCAAGGCTAGAATATATATATATATATTTGCCTTCTTTTGCGTTTCCATTTACATCTGATGGACTGCATTATTTTCTTTATTCTTTCTTAAAAAGTCCGATCAGTGGCCAAGTGATTAAGCGTGCTGAATATTTCTAGTTTGACCTAGGCGAAGACTAAGTAAACGGGCCGGATTAAAATTTGTTTTCCGCATATGTAACGGTAAGATGAGCAAGTTTTTGTTAGCAAGTCCTCCAGAAAGGCATCTTTTCCCTTACGCGGATAACCATAGTGTGCTTAGGTACTTTTAAATAACCCAAACTTTTATAAAAGCAAAATATTATCACGTGCCGCTCAGATCATATTTTATCGTAGCTTAAAACTCAATGCCATTTCTTAAGATCTATAAGCAACTACATAGAATTTTAATTCACTGCCATTAAAAGAAATCAAAAGTAAAAATTATAATCGATATTTAGAATTTAACTGAAAGCAAAAGATGCATACATTCGCTTCTGTTATCTGATAAAAGTACCGTACAGCCATTAGGATTTTTTGATGTAGAAGGCATAAAAAATTAGCAATGCCCTCGGCGGGACTCCAACATGTATGCCTCAATTACGTGCCGAGTGTGCTACCATTACACCGCAAAGGCATGCTAGAAGAAGAGGAAAAATACCTTATTGTATGTCGAAACGTTAATGGAAATAACTTCGTTTCTGTATGGTATTTCTAAAGCTTCATCTCCGAGAACGTAAAAACATAAATAAATCTGGAAGATATATTCATGATATTTTAAAGTTGAGGTTAGCCATAGATTTCCTGAATTGCTGCATGGCCAATCGATATAAATGAAACCTTAATCAAATAAGCCCGTACTTCAATAAGAACTACAAATGCCGCATTTTTCATTTAAATTCAAAGCAATTTAAAATTCAATTTTCAAGAAATCACAAACATCATGCTCTACTAACAAAACAAAAATATTTTTTCTTATAACTTCGGTTCTTTTTTTTTCTTACTCCATTCTCATTCATTAATTGGAATGATGCGGATGATATGGGGGGCTGAAGGGGCACAAAAACTTTCATGGGGCGCATGTGCGGAAGCATCTGCCAACCACAGCTTCTTGCGCCCATCGAGTGTGGGAAGAAGTTACGCGCACGGACTTTTAGCGCATGCTTCGGACCTCTCTTGTTTTCAAAAGGGCGGTGCAAAGATTCAGAAAGGTATAAAAACACTTTTCGTTCACCAGCCAACCACATAACAAGAGCCCTCGTCCAAAAACGATTACAAAGAATCACTTCTTTCAAGAAGAATCCCCATCCAGCATCAGCCTCAGCTACAGGTAGGTTTAAAATAATTGGTTTTAAATCTAATCTTTGTCGAATCTAATCCCGAAGAATCTAATCTTTGTTGCGTTGTTTAGAGAATTTGTTTTAATGAACTCCTAATTTCAATAATCTAGTTTTAAACTGAAAAGTTTCACTATTTTGCTGCGAATTTATAAGCTGTTGTCCTAAGCACTGAAGGTTAATTTATTTCTACCAAAGGTTTTTATGTTGCGTGAAAACACTCGATATAAACAAATTTCGTGCAGTCAATGATTTGGTGGTCTATAATTTTTTTACTGAGTCTTAAATTCAAGTCAATAATTTTAAATCGTCATTGCATTAGTTATAATCGGATTGTTTTGTGCATATTTTATTATTTTATCATAATTTAATTTGCTAAGGTATGCTGTAGGAAATAGCGTAATCGTTTCTCAGTATGGTCGGAGGATATAGAGCATTATTTTTAATAGTTTCATGAATAAAATTCTGCCTTTTTGATTAAAGCCTAGAGAAAAAAAGCCATAAAATTGATCTTTTATAATATTCTATTAGAAATATTGACGTACCTAGAGGTTTAATCTGATTTCTTTTGCAAACGCATTGGGTTTTACATAACAAGCATACCCCTATAAACAGTAAATGAAAAATTCCTTGAATTCCTTTCTATTAAATAAATCCAAATCTAAAAAATAGCTATTTATGAGAAATAAAAATTCCATATATGAAATAAAAAATCGTCAATGTGCATGCAGCTTTTCATTCTAAGCTCATGTATTTACAGACTTCGAAGATCTTAAGTACTTAAGTCTGATTTAATTCTTGGGCATATCCTCTAGTTACAAGGCAAAATGTTATGATGTTTCCAATAAAGGCTAATTAAAAACTACACAAATAAAAGCGATGAAGGAAAATTCAGACTCCGATTTTAAAGGAACCAGCAGTAAAACAGTAATTTTTGTTTATTTTTAACATGGAACAAATAATCCAAACCATTAAAAACATACAATTTCTTTGTTTCTCCACACGTGTGGAATAGAAAATGAATTTCTCAAAGAGTTATTCTGCGACTCTACAATGAAATTGAACAGGTAATCACGGTTTAATTCAGTAGGATAGGAAAAGGATTTTCCTTACAAATGAGTTCATTTCCTATTCTAATGTTTTGCTTCATTTTTTTTTCTCAGCATTAAATGTCATATCAGAACTGCTTGTTCTATAAAAAGAGGGCATTAACACTGAATTATGAAAATGTCTGACTTTAATCTATTTTTTTTAATATTTTTAAAATTTCGTTTATTTATTTTTTATATTACCCTACCCGATCGGAGTTAGTTGTTAGTGGATCCGACTTCGACATTACAGGCCTAATTTGTATAGCGCGCGTTTTTCTCTCGTTTCGAATGCCTTTTTCTCTCTACCTTTGAGAGTGCAGTATCGGTTCCTTTATAGCTAATTCATTTTGATTGACTAATAATTTTGATTGACTTTCGTGATACTAAGAAGATGAAGGTCTAATAGATCTGATCATTTTCTGGAAAATGCCCAGTTGATAACCAGTATGGCATTGGGAGATTATTGCGTATGAACAACCACTGAGAGAACAAAACTCATTTGCATCGTGCTAACTGTAGAAGTCTGAGAGCTTTAACGCTATAAAACATGAATTAGAATTTTTTTATAGTCAGATTTCATGGGCCATAAAGGCAAGTAAGACAAATTCTTACTTAAATCTGATAACGCGTGAAAATATATGATAGGTTTCTTATGATAATAGAAAAATGCCATTAAGGAATGAATTGTATGCTTTAGGTTACTTTAAAAATTAAAAGTGTTTATTTCAAAAAAAAGAATGGCAGTGAAAAGGATTTATTCAACAGAAATGCCACACTAGTGGTTGAATTGTTAAGGCCGCTAAATCTCGGAAGTTCGATTCGGGTTCGATCCCAGGGGAACGGGGAAACTGCATTGTTGATATTAGTTGTTTCCCCCATCTATAACGTGAATATGAGTTTTCTTTAGAATGTCCTCTGCGAAGGCATACTTCCTCTCGGCAGATAGTCTTCTCGCGATTATCCATTCAACAGAGAATCGTCAGCAAGTTTTCGAAAGAAACACCTTTTTTATATGCAGTAGTGGAAGCATAGGGTTAAATATCCTTCTATAAACTATATTTGGATTATAAAATGTTCTTTTAATGCTTACGGGGGACCAAGAGTATAGTTTGAGACCTGAATGCATTTCATGTTGAACTGGAAATGATCACTATTATTGCACGATATACCGCAATTTTCATACATATTCAGTGATATTTATGCAGTTAAAGAATATACATATACTAGTTAGAAAATGCTTTTAATAATTATTAACAATACTTAAAATCTCATTGTTTTAAAAGTCATGATTTTGAGCTCAAATTAAGTTTTAAAGGAAAGTTTTAAGTTTTAAATGAAAATTTATTAATAAATTATTTATTAATGCTTTAAATCTTATTATTTTAGAAATTATTAATTTGAGTCAGTATTAAATTTCAAAGGAAATATATTATTGAATGAAATTAATAATTTTATAACGCAATTCCCAAACCTTATTTCATGGCATTCAGTTAAAATGAAGAAATTAGGGTGGAAGAAAGTTGCTATCAGAAATATAATATTTTCCAATGTTCATTCGTTAATATTAGAATGCTTTATTATTTGTTTCAAAGTCTTTGCTTTTTCTAAATCCTTGTTATAAGTTAAAAATTAGTAACTCTTTCGAATTTTTCTAGTTCTTTTATCCAGCATTGTTTATCTCTAACTATAGGTAAATAACATGTAAAATTCAAAGCATAAATAATTTTATTTATTATTAAAATTTATAAAAGTACAAATTTAAGAAAACTTAAAACTTAAAGTCCCATTGCAACTTGAAAAGCGCAAGTTCAGAACTGAAATACAATTTATAGTTACTTCAAAACTACTAAAGTGAAAGAAGAAGCTGCCATATAATTCTCTCAAAAACTTAATTTCTTTGTCGTAATTTGAAGTGGACTCATCATTTGAAAGCACTGATTCTCTTTAAATTAATTGTTTCTTTCGATTAGGCGCGGTTACAAAAATGTAGATATTGTTTGCAACAGAATGAACTTCCCTTATATCCTTATGCACCTGAACAGTAAAAATCTACTTTGCTATAACGTTGCTACGTTACTATAAAAGAAGGAGCCTGAGATCCTTCATTAATATGTTTCTCAGCAATACGATAATTCCTCATCAAGAACATTCAGACAGCCAGTCATAGGTCTTATCCCCGATGCGTTTGTCAGCACACTTTGAATTCCGAGGTTGACCAGCATCTTCTTCAAAACTCAAAACAGGCGTTCTAAATGTTGAATGTAGAATAAAGAGAGTTACGTTGAATGTAGAATAAACAAACACCTGCTTAAAGAGCATAAGATAAATGCTTATTTATTTGGTTGTAGAAAATAACACTTTGTCTTTCAACTGACTGTTAACGAAAATTCGTAAAAATTAGAAATCCTCGATTTTACAGGTGAACCAAGTGTTAAACTTAGCTCAGAATGTAAGAATGAGTTTGTAGAGTCATTAGGGTTTTTGAAGAAGGAAACATGAAAAATGAGGAATGCCCTCGCCAGGACACGAACCTGGACCTCTTGAATACGCGTCGAATGTACTACCATTACAACACGAAGGCATGCAGAAAGGAAGGAGAAAACACCTTATATACTCCCCCCTTATAAAGGCTGACTGGGGGATTAGGGGACCCAGTCGCCAAATCCTGGTGGGGAAGAATTCCATCCACCACCCTTTCTTTAGATAGGGCGCCACCGTTAAGCCATTAAGGTTTTTAAGTAGGAAAGACGAAAGTTGAGCAATATCCTCGTCGGGACTCGAACTTGGACCTCTCGAATACAAGCTGAATGTGCTACCGTTATACCACGCTGACATGCAGAAATTAGAGAGAATATACCTTATAAGTTTGCTTAAATTTTATGGTATGGTATTCACTCAAAGGATAAAATACAGTATCTAATAAATGATCCTTCGAGTTATTCCTAATTCTAATCCCAACTCGTCTTTCTAATTTCCCAGTTGAATGATGGACGGGAGAAATCATTCGACCTAGATAATCTCATTTGGCACTTCTTGAGCCATTTGATTGCTATTCAGGAATTGAGCGGGATGGTGATTTTTATTATCTTAAGGATACTGGTCACTTTGCGAGAAAACGAAATCTTAAGAAGACTATAAATAATCTAGATAAAATGTGTGCAAGTTAGAATCAGATTTCATATGAACGCTTCCTGAATTGTACACGGCTTCAACTGTTTGCGATACTCCAGCTTAGGATCCATGCAACCGTGTTGTCTTGGTCACACTTGTATGATTTTGAGAATGTCAAATTTCAGAAATGGGGTTAGCAATATCAGGTATTATGCTCCAACTCACCATGGTTCAGCTGTAATACGATTTAGGAAACTGGAACACATCTTCGGATGTCTTGACGAGAGAGATTAAGATATCGATTGAAAAATCTACTTTTGTTAAGATACGAGCAGAAGCTGGTACATAAATTAATAAACAAGTCTCGTAAAAATCTCATACCATCTGTCGTGTAATAATTGTTTGAATCCTTGCGTCTGCAGTCAACTCCTGATTACCAGAAACAGATTACCAGAAACTTTACATTATTCCCCGGGTTTTTAATTTATATTAATCTACCTCAGCAATTATCATCTACCAAGTTTGAAAGGTTTTGTTGTTCTGCAATGCATATCCACATGCCATATAACATCCACATGTCCTTGCGAATAGATATCTCTTAGAAATGTTCCCCTTCGACAACTTATAAGATGTTTATCTTTCAAGCTGAACTAATACAACGAATTAAAAAAATGCACATATTTCGTAATAATTTACATCTTCACTTTCGTTTTACTTCCTTGTACGAAACAAAAAAGATACTGTAATTTCGAAAACGTTTGGTAATCAGATTTCAATGGAAACATTCATTT